AATTATGAATTAAACATTGATATGTAAAAAATCATGAAAACATACATACGTATCAAACAACATTACTATAACATTAGTTATATAATATTAAATATATGTATGTATGCAATATGCATGAATTACATGTCTATTACGAATCAAAAAAAAAAAAAATTGACATTATTTTTATTGACATAAGAAAGAAATATATTAGAAAGAATAATCAAAATTTTAAGAATATTGAATTACGTAAACATATTTAAAAGAAATAATATGACGTCAAACACAATTTTAACACAATTTATGTTATATCAAACTATCTTATGCAACTTTAATCAAATCAAACATATTTTAGTGGAGTTCAAAGTTTAAATGCCGTCAAATGTCCGAGTATAAAATTAATAATGTAAAAATTTTATAACAAATTCAAAATCAATGAAATTTTTTAATATTTTAATGTAAAATACTTCGTACTAATTAAATAAATGTTTTTAATTTTCGAGAACTCAATGTTTTAGCATTAAATTCGATCGTTCACAATTTTATTGTTCTTTCCATTCAATTTTTTTTTTTTAGCTTTATCAATAAAATTTCTTTTCTTATCTCTATATCAGCATACAAAAACATGTGAAATTTTTAGTCCGAAAATCAAATAACAAAAATGTGTTAAATATAAAAAGTTTCAAATAAATATTGCAAAAACAAAAAACGATATAGCAATTTTCCACTTAAATTACGTAAAATTTTTCAATAAAAATTTTACTATTGTATTTATTTACTGAAATATTTTATAAGAAATATGAGATAAAATAAATATTTTAATCATAATTTTAAAATAATTATTGATTTTGTATTAAAAAAACTGATGAATCATTATGAATTTAATTATAAATTTAAATTAGAAAAAAAAAAAAATATTGAAACTGCCCTTTGAACAACAATATGAGCAAATAATGAGCATTTTATTCTTAACATTTCAAAATCTTAGTTATGAACGTATATATGTACATTGAATGTATAAATTAATAATAATAGGAAATGTGATTATAATTGTACCCACGTGATCGTCATAAAATGCACGTTTTTAACAAGTTAAACTCACTTTTTAAATTTCAGTGTAAATTAAATTGATATTTCTCACAATAAGATATTAGACCTAACAAAAATTTCTTATTGAATTATTAAAAACAAAAAATATAAGCTATTATAATTAAAAAATGAAATCAACAAAATTATTATTATTTCACTGTCTATGAAAAATAAAATTATTTATCGTAAATTCTGTAGCAGTGCTATCGAATTTCAAATTTCCATGCATGTGTAAAGTTATTATTTACTAATGTTCATATTTATGTACATATGTATATTGCGTGACTAATGAAAATTATACTATTTTTAACTATAAAATATTTAATAATAATTATTTAAAATATTTAATTTTAAAGTTTTCATTTATAGTAATCACACAAAATCCACTCAACCATATTAATTATTGTTCTTTATAAATAATTACCGTTAATTAAAAAATGAAAATAGAATATTATGTAATGTGAGTATATGTTAATTACATAAAATATACCGTTATAATCTGTACCGAATAACAAATTTTAACTCGCCTTCATAGCACATGTACCAAAAATTGTTTTCGAAAATATATTCTATTCGAAATTTATCAATCGGCTCTTTCGCCTCTAAATATCCGAATTTCGCCTAAATAAATTCACAATTTCTTATCGGCGGAAAAATATAATTAAATTTTCACTCATCATTGAGTTATGCTCACCAAATCTCAAAATTGGTTCATCTTTCAATTCTTATTGTATTGCAATAGTAAAGAATTTTTTTTTTAATTCTGGTTGAAAAGTAATTTGACCTCTTTTTAAGGTTTTACGAATTTAGTGCAAAAATTTAATAAAGCTCAAATAAAAATGGAAAATATTTCTTTAAATATTGGATTAAAAAGTAATATTCTTATTGAATAAAGTTGAAAACAGAACAAAATTGATTTTTCGCAGCGAAATTTTCAAATTCATATAGGAAACACATAAATAAATTGGATTGTCCAGAATGAAGTATCAAATAAATGAACTGTTTGCGAATTTAATCGAAGACCATAATATAGCCTAAAATCCTTTATTTTACCGCTGGCGATTTTTTTTTAATATCATTCCGTTAGTGTGTAACATTATATAGCCGTGTTAATATTGTTTTGAGTTAACAGCGGAAATCTTCCATTTTTGTCGCTGATCGTTTTGGTTCAGTTTTAACACTTAATTTTCTAAAATTATTTTAAATTTAATTTATTTTATGTATATAAGAACTTTGTATAGCCAAAATTTACAATTGAGTCCTGAGAACATGAGTATTCATTTAAAACACTGTGTTTTATAGCGTATATATTTTATTGTATAAATACGAGTATAATAAGCTGGTATGTGGTTAAGTAAATCTAATAATTAAAATTTTATATAACAAATTTTTTTATTATGTACTTAATTTTTATTGTATTTTAATTTACTGAAAAAAAAACTTAGAGAATAGTTCAAATTTAAGCACAACTGTTTACTTTCTATTAATAGTATGAGACCAAGAATATTTTAATTAATTTAATTGGCTTAAAAAAAATTAAATAATCATCATCTTTATTCTTAAATAATCAAAAGAATCCACAGAAAATTTATTAATCAAAAAGGAAAAAAATAAAATTTGGTTATCACAAAAGCCATGAAATAAAATGCAAAATCCGGAATATTTGAATATAGATTAAATATAGGTAGACCTTGATAGTGTTCGTAAATCCAAACAAAAAAAGGGGAAAAAAATAAGAAAAATTGATCTTTTTTCTGTTTATTTATCTTGTTGATTTTATATTTATTTTCTATGTTTTTTTTGCCGGTTTAGTTTTTGAAAAATTTTGCCGGCTTTTTGTTTTTATTTCATTTTCATGATAAATTTTATTACATCATTCAGATACAGTAGAAATACTGATTATTTAAATTTAAATTGTAAATTTTTGTAAAACTATTGAATTTTAAAAAATTAAGTAGATATTTGTATTGTACCTACATACTTAACACTATAAATTAGATAATTTGTAAGTTCATTAGGATTGTGTGATTAGAAATTGTGAGTGCATAATTTACTTGCACAATACTTGCAGTCTATTTTGTGTGTTGAAATTATTTAAAAGTTATTGAACTAGTTTGAATTCGTTTCATAAACAGTCAACAAAATGATAAAGCATTAAGTTTGCAAAATTCACAAATTTAGCATGAAATTATTATTGAATAGATGATTTCGGCCCAAATATTTACTGGTTCATGAATATGCAACTTATGTACTTCAACATTTTTTAATAAAATTTATAATTTAATATTATAAAATGCATTTCTAATTCAAGTTTATACTTGCCCCTATTTATTTTTCGTACAAACACAAGTGCTTTTTGCAATAACTTTGACAATACTATGGTAGAAACTCCTTTAATCGATTGATTAATTGTCAATTATTTTTGTTTAATTTAAAATAAAATTATAATTTAATTAATTAATTAAAAACTTCAACATAAAAATAGATAATTCCTTTCTTCTTTAAAATTTTTAACCCGTTTTGGAGAGTATATACATTTAACTTAAAATTTTCGATTTATCCAGTTGTTAGGCACGGCACGTACAGGCTGCTCAGTCACTTAAAAAAAAATATTCTATTGTAGCCAAAACTAATACGTAACATTTAAGTGCATGTAAACTTAAATTATAATTTTTCTTTAATTTTGAAATTGGCTAAAAATAGCAATCAATTTTTTCGCTTTTCAAATAGTACCAATAATTTTAAATTTTTCACTTTAAATATTTGGCATCAATATTACTTTAAATTGTTTTTTTTTTTCAATATATTAACTAAATGGTTGGTTGTGCGTTTTGAGTAAAAAAAAAATTTTTTTCAATTGAAGACACTCAAATTCAAGTTGAAGGATTTTTAAGATTCCTTTATTTATTTCTAATTAAAATGCAAGTTGTAATTTACAAATATAAACTTACATGCAAGTAGGAAAACAAAATTATGAATAATAATTAAAACAAATAACCTTTCATGCCACAAATTTAATTTGTATGCCACTAAATTGATAAAAAAAAAAATAATAATCTATGTACCTACCTACAACATTGTATTGTCAATTAAGTTCCTCAAACATTATTTGGCACAAAATTCTAATTGATTTTTGCAAGTAATAAAAAGTAGAGCATTTAATTTTAAAAATTTTCAGGTCAATAACATAAAATTCTATTTCTAATTTAACCTGCAAGCATGTTGTTATGTAGGTATATTTGCATTATATAGAAATATTTATGTATGTATATACATACATATGTATATATAGCGAAATGACTTTAAATAAATTTATATTGAAATAATTTAAATATAAATTCAATTTATCTAAATAAATTATTGTAAAATTAATTAAATACATAAGTATATGTAGCTAGGTGGAGTAAGTAAAGTTTTGTTGTGGAAGGCATAAATATTTTTCGTTTATGAAACTAACTGTGAATTTTGTGATGTAATTTTGTTATTGTATTAGCATAATAGTAATATAATTAATTCAACTTACAAACTTCATTTAATGCAATCCAATTATAATATTATAATTTCTAATTAATTTTAATATCACTTTAATAACTAATAAAATATTTTAATATTATAGCTTTACACTTATGTATTTCTCCCGGCACTCTCTATATTATAAACAGAATAAATAAATGTCATCGATAATAGTAGAAATGTCAAAAAAATAAATTTTAAATTAAATATTCAGGGTTGTACTAAAATAAAATATCAATTAATAAAATCATAAAACGTTGTAATCATATAAAAAAAAATAATTTATTTTGATTCAACTTTCAATTAATTATTATTAAAAATGAAGTTGAATTTCGGTATCATTTACCTCTTTTTTGAGTAGTTGATTTAAAATTATCTCTTTCGAGCCAAAAATGGCATTTCAAGTAAAAAAAAATGTTTAATTAATTCGGGTGAAACCGGATTTAAGTCAAGTAACATTTATATTGAGAATAGGCTTCATGTACGCTTAAACCTACCATATAAAAAATGGACAATTTCAAACAGACTAAATTTCTATTAATTTTCTCCTTGGGCTAATGCTTTCCATTGTATTACTTTATTATTTGAAAAACATGGAAAATTGAAGTAAGATTCGACATTCTATTGTTCTTTTGATGACAGTAATCTCTTCAAAAAATTATATCCCTATCATAACGGCTTCTGTTTTAATTTTTGATGACAGTTACTCCAATTTTACATTTTGATAAAAAACGCTACCCCATTATACTTTATACGAATTCCGCATTTTCAAAATAATACAAAAGAATAGCAGCTGCTGTCAAATTATTCAAAAATCAAAGTTCTAAAGTTCTTTTGTCTTTTACATATTTGACAAAACGATTTTTTTTTCTGCTTTTTCAATAGTTCATAATTTTTGCGTAATCAAAAAAAAAAATTTTAATTTTTAATATTATAGAAAAGTTTTTTTAAAAAATTTCTACGTGAGTGAAAGCTTTCTAATTATATAAAAAGAAAAACAAAAAAAAAAAATTGCAATCAAACATGGCTACTTTATTCATTAGTAAAAATTTTTTAATTTTTTAGATGCCAATGAGTACTCCAACAAGTCCTCGGAAATTTAATGGTTTAACAGATGAGGATCGTCCGACACCTTTATTTACAGATATGAATTTTAGTCAAGAATTAAGTGGTAAAATGCGTGTACCAAAAAGAATAAAAGCAACTGGCGAATATTCGGATGAAGATTTATTATTATCAAATCAAAATGGAATAATGAATTCTTGGACTTATCATGATAAAATTGATATGAATGTTCCAGATCGAATTGTTGTTATAGGCCAGGATCAGCATTTAGGAACACGTTCAACACCACGTGAAATTGTATTGGATAATTCCATTTTACCAACAGATCCAGGTTTTGTTAGAGTACAAACACCACCAAGAGTTATAACATTAAGTGAACATGTATTTCCAACAATAGAAGACAATGGAAAACCAAATAATGGTTTTGGTTCATCTAATTATATACGAGCAGGACAAAATGGACATATAACAGTGGGATTTGATCCAAATGCTGGATATAATAATTCTAATATGAATGATACATCATCTGTTGAAGATGAATCAGAAAGACGTCAGATAACTAATTCTAGTCGAAAATCATTAAATTATAATGATACAACTATTGCACATCGTGATGGTACACCACCAATTGGTGATTTATCACCATCAGAAGAAATTATGTACTTAAGAAGGCAATTAGCCAAATTAAATAGACGGGTGCTTTCAATCGAAATTGATAATGTTCAAAGACAACAACGTGAAAAAATCATATATTGCTTGGGATTAGCATATTTTTTATTAAAAACTATTTTCTGGTTGAACAAAAATTAAAAGGTAAATAAAATTTAAAAAAAATAACAAAAAATGGAGCATAGTTTATGTTTTTATATGAAAGTTGCCTATTTTTTAATTATTATTTGAAAATAAATTTCTTTATTTTCAAGTTTGCTTTAGTTTTAAAAAAATAAAATTCTTTAAATTTAGCATAATTGCAACAAAAAAAACAGACTATTTATAGATCTATTTTGTCAACAATTAAAATAAAATATAAAAATAGGAAAACATATGAATGTGTATAAAGAATAAGGAATTTTGATTTATTATGAACATGCTGGTTCGTTTCTATAAAATACTTTCATTTTAAATTAAATAATATGCTTCAATTTTATTACATTCTACTCGGTTATACGTAAAAAAATACAAATATTGCTTTGTAAATTAAATTTTCTATTTCTTACAAGATGTGATCCAATTAAGAATAATATGCATATAATATGCAATTATTCTTGTATAATCTCTTTAGCAATAGATAAAGAAATAAGCAACAATCATACTATTTTTTTGCATATGAAACGCATAAATATTTATTGAAGGAAGTATATACGAGATTTATTTTGAATTCATTTTTATAAAATTGAACGTTATCAGAATATCATTCATAAGTATTCATTTTAAACGTGCTATAAAGTTCAATGTACTTTAAGAGAATTTGTATTTTTAGAAATAATTAACAAAAACATAAAAAGTCTTTGTATATTTTATTTTTATATTATGTATTTAACAATTTTGTTGTTTTTAGAAATTTATGCAATAGTTATTTAAAAATTATTACCTTATTTTATTTTTAGATTATGATAATTGGATGCCTTTGCTGTAAACCAAATTAATTGACAACTTTAAGAAGAAAAATAATTAACTGATTTTTTTTTTTGTATTAAATAAGAACATAAATAAATAAGCTGCTTGAATATTTGATAAAGAAAAAAAACATTGGAGCAGAAGTGGATCAAATATTTACTTCAATCAGAAGAAATTCATTTTTTTTTATATATACATATATAACTATTATTAAATATTTACCTACAAGAAAAAAAAAAGTAATATTCCATAGTTAACCCTACGAAATACAAAGGTTAAGAAAATCAAAAAAAAAAAATATAAGGAAGAAAAAAAAAAAGAAGAATGATTATGATTTTTATTAAAAAAAAAATATCTAATTATAATAAATTATTAAATTTACATAAAAAAAATTAATATAAATATTAGAAATCTAACTATTTGTTGTTTTTGTAATGATATGAATCTGATCTCTATGATATTAGAGCTTATTTGAAATGGAGGCATTACAAATTTTTGTTTTTTTAAGAGAATATTTAAAAAACTAATAAATAGAAAAAATTTTAGAGATTTAGTAAAAGAATGATAATGAATACATTTTTTTTTTAAATACCTGTAAAATATTATAAACAAATTCGAGATATAAATAGAAAACGAAATACTTTATTTTTTTTTTTGTATATAAATTGAATTTTCCAAATATTAATTATACATTAAATTTTATTTTATCAATTTTTTTTTAATTATTCATTAAATATAGCTTTGGTTTCATTTCTCTTTTTTTATATTTTTTTTAATTTCAATATATACATAATTCTCGTTTTTATTTCACATTTACTTAGTTTAGTTATAAATTTTAAAGTATGACAAAATAATTAAAAATAATTAAATAAAAAAAAAGAAAAGAATTGTTGTGAATGAAAAAGTAATACGAATTACCTTTCGATTAATTAAAATTAAAAATTACCATACATAAATATATAAAAAAAAATTAAAATTATTGAATACATACACGAATAAAACACTTATTTTAAGAGCAAACAAAAAAGAAATTGAAAAATGGTAATTAATATAACCATTTTGTAGAAATTTTTAATTAAAATATTTAGAATTTTAAGTTGAAATTAAAATACATAAAATAAAATACAATGAAATGTTTGTTTTGCATACACATTTTTTTTATACTATGTGATTGATTTTAAGAGTAAGAAAAAAATAATTTTAATTTTTTTTTGGTCACAAATAACAATCACTGTTAATTGTTCTAAAATGTATTAATTTTTAAAAGCATTAAAATCACAATTTTATATTTTACAAATGCATGTAGAAGAATATTAAATCGTCCTTTAAGCAAGTAAATAATTATTCATTTATTGTTTAGGTGCTGAACATTTAAGAAAATGTTAAAGTTCATATATACTTAGTTCATATTATTAAATTTATATTATTGAAATTGATTTTTTATTTTACTATTAAGAAATATTAAAACAAATACCTTTAAATCAGGTAAAACAAATCTTGAATTCTGGAATTGATTTAATTTTTAAGTTAGTTACTATTAAAGAAATCAAACATGCACGCATTTTTGTTAATTTTAGTTATTTTTTTAGTAAATCTTAATCAAACATATGGTAAATAAACATTTCATAAAAAAAATGTTCATAATTTATAAAAAGAAAAAAAAAACAACTGGCAGTCATTATTAAAAAATGTTTTTTATTATTTTTATTTCTTTGTTATAAAAAAATAAATTCTAATAATAACAAGTTGAAGTATTCAAAATAAATTTTTATATTGTTTCATTAAATTGTTGCATTCCTTAAGATTTAAATGAGAAAACAAATTAATAAATTTTCATTTGAATTATTTCATATTAAATACTAAATAAATTTTTTATTTAGCATATTTTAGTACATACTTATGTTTTTCTAAAATAAAAAATTTATAAGTTAATAATTGTTAAATAATTAAAATAAATCATAAAGCAATCAAAATAATTTGAATACAAAGGTGCTTTATGATAAATTAATTGTACAGAATTTTAATCTGTTTTTTTTTTATTCCTTTAAATAGGTAACAAATATTACTATTTTAATTTTTGAATTTAATTTAACAAGAGTTAGTTGACTTAAAAGAAAAGAAAGTTTAACTTGAATAAGACATGCTTAAGTAGTCTAGGCAGTAAGTGCCCAAAAAAAGTTTATGATAAGAAGCAAAAAGAAGTGAAATTATTTATTGTGCATCTTTGAAAGCTATATATACACATATATATATTTGTTTTTTCATATACATATATACATTTTTTACAGATATTGATTATAAGCCATGTCTTGAAAATTTGACAAATGTCGGAATAAGTTGACAGCCGTAGGATTGTAAACGTATAGCGTAACACTTGCTTAAGACGTTAGCTTACAAATTCGTATATTAAAATAAAATATTGCATTGCATGGAGATATTTGGCATTGACTATAATTTATATTTTTTTTGTAAGCTCCAACTAATGTCAAAAAAAACCACAATCCTAAAAAAATGAATTGAATAAACTTTCTGCGTTTAAATTTTAATAAACATGGAATGATGACCATCCTTTTCAAGATTTTTTTTCTTCATTTTTCCTATAAATTTTTTAAAGAAAAATCATTAGGGAATATTTATAATGAAAATTCTTAAAAGGATTCTATAAATAAATATGCTCTAGACTAGACATTTTCCTATAAATGACAATGCTGCCATACACTATTACTTATCTCATATCTAATTGACATTTGATAATTTCCTTTTTCCATTAAAAATACATATAAATTCCATTTTCGATTTTTAAACAAGTAAAAATCGATTCTTTCTCTTTGTAGAATAAATTATTGAAAAACAAACAAAAAAAAAAAACTTGTAATAATCGAACCTTTAAACGTCAGTTTCTTTCTAGCATCGTATTCGTCTGGTAGTTTTGTTAGTAAAAAAAAAAAAAAACAGAAAAAACATAAAAAAACTGAAGAAGAAAATTTATTTTTTTTTTAATTTCAATTTTTTCTTTTCTCATAATTGAAATTAAAAATGTGTTAAAAATATAAAAGAAAAACTTAAAAATAATTAAAAAAAATCAATTTTATAATAAAAATTGAAATTTCAATTAAATAAATGTAATTTTCTTTTATAATTTTCAATTTATTTGAAGAAAATAAAAAAAAAGAACAAGAAAAAAAAATAAATCATTTTTGCATAGCAAAGACAGGAAAGACAGAGAGAGAGAGAGAGAGAAAAAAAATCATGAATTTTTATCTTTCAGAAATAATTTTTCAGTAAAAAAAAAATTTTTTTTTTTTTGCCTTTTAAATGAATTTTCTTACCGGAAAATTTACTTAATTTTACTTTTATATTTTAATAATCATTTTAAGAATTCATTTTAATTTAAAATCTTTAAACGAAAACAATATTTTCTTTCATAATTATTTATAAAAACTCTTATAATATTTATATTATACTTTATTGTAGCAATTAAAAAATTGAAAAATCAACCTATCAGAGAGAATCGAATGAATTTGTTTTATTGAAATTAAGCTACATTGTAAAAAGGAGAAAAAAATTCAATTATTTTAAATAAAGTATTTGAAGAAAATTTTCGGTTTCGGTTGTTTTGTGATGTTTAAATTAAAAAAAAATATATGTATATACATAAAAAAGTAAAAGTAATAAAAAATTTTTAATGAATGAATTTTGATAATTTTTTTTTTATAAAAAATTAAGGTGTGTTACACACTCTTTTTACCAATATTGAATATTGTATAAAATTGATACCTAAAATGAAATAAAATGCAAAAAAAAAAATTAAAGTGAAAAATTAAAGAGAGGAGAGAAGGAAATAAGAATTTTATTTCTTTAGTATACCTTAATGTAATTAAATTCAATTTTATTTAATAAATATTTGGAATAAGTTTCTTTATAAAAAATATTGTGAGAAATTAACCATAATAAAAATTTATTTGAATTTCATACATACATATGAACATAATAATATGTAGGTATAGAAAATTTTAGTAGTAACATAAGAAAAAAAAAATGGCATAAAATTCTTGTGATACAGAAAAATATTTAAAACAAAAAAAAAACAAAAAGCATACGAAATTATTTTCATTTAATTAAAAAATTTAATTATTAAAAGTTTAAAAATTCAATTATTAAAATTAAAATTTTTGTTTAAAAGTAAATAGAAGGGTATGAAATGTAATGAAATTTGCCTTGCCTACTACATATCTACTTGCTGTTTTTCTCTGTTAAATTTGACGATTTTTGTATCAGAAAACTTCCTTACTCTCTCTCCAATTATAAATTAATAAAATTAATATATTGACAGAATATTTAAAATAATTTTAAAAATTTCAAATATAATCATAATTTGTATTTGCATACAACATTTTTAAAAATTATTTTTTTTTTAAATAAAATATTTTGCAAGTCCTCATCTTCTTGTTACCAAAAAAAAAAAAAAAGGAAATTTTTTTTGAAAATCTCTTGTCAAAAAAAGTTTTTAAGAGTTGCAGAGTAGTAGAACAGAACAGAATAGTAGATTGGTATAGTAGAGGAGCAAGAGAAGTAGAAAAAGAAATAAGAATTTTTATGATGAGAAAAATGAGAAATTTTTTTATATTAACTATTTAGCTATATAGAATAGAGAGAGTAGAGGAAATTAAAAAAAAAAAAAGGATATACACACCCTCACATTTTGTTTTTTTTTTTTTTTTTTTCAAAATTTTTGGTAATGTGATGGCTATGTATTTGTTTTTTGCTGCTGCTGATCAATATTAAAAATTTCATACGAACTGTCTATCTACCTTTTATCATAAATTTCAATTTAACTAAATATAATTTAATTTTTATTTTAAAATTAAAATAAATAAGGGAATTTAATATTTTCATTTTCTCCTTACTTGTTACTACATACAAATTTTTGTATTCTCATTTGTAGTTTAATATCGTTGTCGCCGTGTGTCTTGATCATTGTTTTATTTAAAGAAAAAAAATAACTACCTAGTGGTTTTATTTTATATTTTTACAATTACGTACATATATATGTATGTATGTACAAACATCAAATTTTACACCATACTAAATGAAAAGGAAAATTTGTATATACTTATAAATTGCAAACTTATAAATATTTTAATTAAAAAAGAGAATTATTTAATAATAATAATAATTATTATTATTGCCTACTTATTATCTACTACAATAGCTAGAAGGAAACAAGGAAACGTTACGAATTAACTGTTTTAATCTTTTTATACTTATGTGGTAAGTTGTTTTTTTTTTTAATAAAATAAAATATAATTATGCATACATTTACATACTTACATAAATATTTAATATTCTTTATTGTAATATAGAAATTCTACCTAGTTACCTACTATTTTTATCTGACTAGATAGATAAATACTCCTGTTTTTTTTTTTCAGATAAATATTTTTAATTAAAATAATTTTATTAAAACAATTGGAGATAAGATTAAAAATGAAATTCCAAAAATTTTATAAATATTTTTCTCTTAAATTATTCACATGTAGTAAAATATTATTTTTTAAAAATATTATTTAATAATGAAAAATCGAATTTTCTTCCTTTTTTGACTTACATGTGTATGTACGTAGATAATAATATACATATATCAATAATATTATGTCCATATAAAAAATTCTGATGACTATAATAATAATAAAAAAAAAAAAAAAAAAAATCACAGAGAGAAAAGGAATGAAAATTAAGAGATGGATGAAAATCTGAAATGGAAATAGAATGAATTAAAAGAGAAAAGATTTTGAAAAAACAAAAAAAAATTGTGAGACTATGAGAGAGAGAAAAAATAGTGAGAACAAAGAAGACTACTAAAATAAACCAGCTGTCATTTTTATAAATTTCTTTTTTCCTTCCTCCGATTCTACTCCTGCATTTTGCATTGCATTTTATTTATTTTAGTATATTAAACGCTGATGATGATGGTACTTTTTGTTTTATTACAATAATTTATTGCATGAATTAAAATGGAAGCAACCAATTCCAACCACACTATATTTATTAATATTATTTAAATACATAATAAGAAATTTGTTTTGTTTTTGAAATTATGTACAAAGCTTCTTGCAATTTTCAGGCAAAAATTTATAAAATTAAGAATAAAATTGTGATGTGGGTAAATTTAAATTTAGAATTTTTTTTTTTTAATTAATTTCTCATTATTTTTCATAAATATTGTTTTAAAATGTGGTAGATATTTACATAGTTCCTGTAATGAAATCTACAGAGCGCTATGAAATATGATTGATCAACAAATCAATTTTTTGTGGGTAATATTGTTCTTCTCCTTACGTAAAATTGTTAAGATAGAGAAAAATTGTTAGTGAGTCGAGTAAAAATAATTGCGTTTTAATTGATTTTATTGAAAACGTAATAATTATTTACGTATAAAATTTTTGAACGATTAGTTTGAAAATTTATTGAATTAAATTGTCAGAAGATGATAACTCAAATTTACAATAGTACATTATTTTATAATTGAAAATTCTTTATTTAAATTGCAATTTTTAGAAGGTTATAGTTTTGCTCTTATTATCAATTTTAATTCCGGTTTTTATTAAAATAAAATTATATTGGTTGGATTGGTTAAATAAAAGAAATAGATAAGATGTTGGAGAACTTATAAACAACGTAAAGTACTACTAAGTACTAAAAACGCAGCAATATTTCATTTTTCTTTAAAATGGACTTAGGTCACTTTCAAACCAAACTATCTAATATTATACAGTGTTAGGACATTAACGTTTTTGAAATGTATAATGAAAATTGCAATAATATCAAATTTAAGTTATTATTGCTATTATAAAACAAAAAAAAAAAATAATTTTAAAGCGATTTAAGATGCAAATTCATATTAAATTTTAAAAAAAAATAAGGTCATGTCATACTTATTTTTGTTATCTATTATAACTTTATTCCATATACATACACACATATGTACATATATTTTTCGAAAATAAAAATTGCAAATTGCCCACGTTCTTATGTACAAATGTATGTATGTATGTAAAAATAAGAATGCAATAATAATTTTATGCAAGCATAAGTATTTTTTTTTTTTTTTAATATTTTGTTTTTGTACAATCGTGGTGGGCTGCTTTTTTTTTTTAAATTTTTTTTACTAATTTTATATAAATTTAAATGAGTACCTATAAGTATACATTCATACATATACTTATTCAGGTATATTACATGATATTATTGTTAACTAAAAAAAAAAAAATAAAAACAATAAAAAAATAATAACAATGGTGAATTGAGTTGAGGGAGAATAACCTACTTAAATAATATTCAATATAAAAGTGAACTAGTCAGAAAGTAGTAACCAAACAAAAGAGACACAAAACAATAAAAATAAATACTATGGTCTCCACTCTTATATTCCCACAACGGCAATTTTAAGAATAGTGCGATGTTCGTATTTTGTTCCTGTTTATTTATTGTTCTTGTTCTTTTTATTTTTTTTTTTTATTTTTTGTCTTATTTTACTTACCTACCTATTTCCACTTTTAAACGTTATGTTGAACCCATACAATGAAAAAAAAACGTAAAATAAAAAACCTTATTTTTTATAATGTTGACTCTGCTGTGAGGATCAAATTACTTTGAAATAAGAGCAAACTACATACATGCATGCAAATATTATATAACTCTAGCTAAAATTTAAAATATGAAATTTATAAAATGTATAAAAGGTGTCCCAAAATCAAGTAATTAAACAATAGTGAGTAACTAAGTATAACTGGAAATTATGAATTCTAAACAATATAAAACTGGTCATTGCACGTCTGGTCGTTGTACCTAGATTCTTATATTCCACTTATTTGTCTTGTGAACTAAAGGGTTAATTTCTTATTTTTAAAATTGAAATGAGAGAAATAAATAATTATTACTCATCTGTTTGTTTGCTTTTTTTTTTTGGGTGAAACATCTTGTATGTTAATAGTATATATATATATATACATATACATTCATATACATTTTGAATAAACATACAATTATATACAATTATATAAGTAACTATAACTGATTATTAAAAATTTAACTTTAAAAGAGTAAAGTCGGTTATTTATTCACGGTTCTTTGATTAGTTGTTCTTTCAATTATTTTTCTTGTTTTGTTGATTTTTTCTTTTAATTTAAAGAGATTGTCTGTCATTAAGTACATAATTATATGTACATATTTAATATACTTGCCGATATATGTATGTGTATATATTCGAAAATATATGAATGTGAGCAAGTTTTTACAAAAATAATGTCAGATTTAGCCAATTTTACGTATTGTCTGCTATGAAATATTAAAGTACATATGTATAAAATTAGCTTAATGGATTTTAATAATATATGGCCGAATTTCTACATATATTACAATAAATATCACTATAATTTTAATAATTCACTTTTCAGAATAAATTCAATTAATTCCTATAAGTACATATTCGGAAAGTAATCAAAATATGCGTGCACCCATGTCACATTGTTTTTTACGCATCTTAATGCAAAGTTTGATATTTATTAACGTGTTGATTTGCATCACTCTACAAGTGAGTGGAGAACACTTTAAATGGGTTCCTAATTAAAAGCAAATTCCCCTATCGATAGTAACGAATGAATGAAAATAAAAAATAATAAAAAAAAATTTTGCAAAATATTTTTTGCTTATAAAATGTCATTTAAATGTTAGAAACGGTTGTAGCGACTTGTATGCAGCACATTTTAGCTTGTATCATACAATATTCATTTTTCGTTTACTGTAACACTGACATAACAATCAAATTTGAAAATTTGAAAAAAAAAATTACAATGTGTTGGCATTTACTTAAAATGTATAAGAATATCTCAAGTCAGCTGAATTATTCTTCAGCATTTGATTACTTTTATTAATTTACATTCAAGTTGGTGCACCCCAAAACCCGTACCTGAAACAAATACATAAAATAGAGTTTTCTTGTATTTACATAATATTTTTTTTTTTTTTTAAATTTCTGATTTGTTTATTTTCCTTGTTTGTCTTATATAAAAATTATGTTTTATTCTACTTTTATCAGATTTTTATAATAATTTTGTAATATTTATAAAATAAATTATTTTTGCTACATACATATATACATATACTAGAAAAACTAGTCAGGTGGAAATCAGACAACTAATGTGGAACGAAAAATATTTTTTTTTTATGGTGTTGAATTTAAGAACAATGTGGTGTAAATGGTAAATACATCTAAACTTTTATACTCACATATAATTACACAAGGGCAATTTTCTGTAAATAATTAAAGTAATATTTTTTCTGCTTTTTTTTTATTTATTTATTTTATTAAAGTAATTTATTAGTGATAACAATTTATTTGAATTTAATTCATTTCTTAATTACCTTGAATATTTCGTATTTGATTTGTTATACAATAATTTACTTTAGATTCTAGTGTTCCGATTTAATAAGAACTATGCGGGTAGGAGGCAGGTACTATATTTGTTTTTTGATATATGTAAGTATGTATGTGTTTTTTTTTCTAATTATTACTTATATTTCGTTGAACGTAAACTGATCATATATGATCAAATCATTTGCTTACAAATCAATTTCTTACCCCCCTGTCTTTATTAATCAAAAAACAATTTGCTAGTAATAAATTGTCAAATTTTAAGTTTTTCAAATAGGGCCACAATTTTTTCTATTCAAATATATTTTGTTTCCAAAGTTGATTAAACAAGAGTAAAAATTGGCAATAGGGCTCTGATGTGTTCCAAAAAGAAAACCATAAATTTTAAAATATAAAATACTTAGTAGGAAACATTTTTGTCACAAAATTTTAAATTTTTGTCAAAAAATTGATAATTAAATCAAATAAGTTTCGTCCGATTCTTGAACAGTTAGAATTTAAAATGAGATATTCTTATTTATATTTTTCAAATTCAATTACAAAATTGTTCGGGAATTCTTTAAATCTTGCTTTATTTCTTAAATAAATTATTAAAAATAAATTGTAATACGGGTTGGTTCATGCTCGGGCGCCAATATATTAATATAATCTTTATTGTTACTTTATATTGTAAATAAAAATTTAATTTTAATTTGCTTGCAAAAAAAAAAACAATTTTTGCGTGTGCGAAAGGTCCATTATGTAAGAAAACGGTGTTAAAAAAAATTTTGTAAATATTGTAAAATGTGTTTAGTGGTGAATTCACTGTGTAATTGTTAAGAAATGGGAAAGATGAGTA